CATTGTATGTCTCCCTCGTCTTCTCTTAGCGCTTGGCCTGGCACGCCTAGCCGGGGCGATGAATCCTGCGGAGACGAAGCTGAGCTTCCGGTCACCTCGTCCTCCAATGCGGAGATGGAACGACCCGGGAGTCCCTGCGGGTTTACTCCAACCACAGATCCACGAGCTTGCGGCCGGCAAGGTAAGTTTAAGCGGAAGCACCTGTGGTGAAAGGTAGTGATGGAGTACAGGACAGGGAAGCCAGGTAGGTTACACATTTTCCAAGTCGTCTTTCCTACGAGAGATAGATATAGTGACCCAGAAGCAACGAGAGGGACACCGGACGATAAAGAATGTGTTTGTATTTGATTGGAAGACTTGACATGACAGGTCTATGCCTTCAAGTTTTAATGTCCAAGTATACGCCCCAATCTGTGTCTGAATAACGTCCCCTCTAGGCCAATAGCTTAGAGTGCACCCCGATTCATCTATTCCACTAGCTTTCTCACGCTTACCGCTCGCAAGGAAGGCTGAAGTCGCATTTACTCTAAAAGCATGAGTTGAAGGGAAAGAGTTGAAGGGAAAGAGTGCTAATTAGTCTCCTTGTTGCAGTTTACCTTTTGTGTGAAAGCAAGTCCAGGATCGACGGTACCTCCTCGGCCGCCGAGACGAACAAAATAAAAAAAGAACCGGACACGGTTGGACTCATTACCTTTGCAACGTAGCATTTTTCACAGGCCTTGTGCTTCGACAAAGGACCACCGGCTGGAAATTTTCTGCGGGGGTTCATGGTAATGGTATTCCTGTGGAAAGATCACCCAAATCGTGAGAAAACATCGTTTCTAAAGGGGCAAGAGAGGAGGCAGAAGGGAAGAAAAGGAATTTTCCGTGCACACATAACTTGTTATCTGCAAGATGGACTCATAAACTGTCAGTCATCGTCAGTCGGCCTATAGTGCGGTGTAATGCTATGGTCCTAGCACGCGGTATCACTCCCTTTCGCAATGAATGGGAGGGCAAAAGTGCTGTATTCTCACCATTGATACAACACAACAAATTGCTACTTGAAATTTGACGACATGTCCATGATGGAAGCTCCAAATAGAGAATCTCTTGGCTACATGATTGGTGCCTAGTAGCAAGAGAAGGGAGGACCCAAAGCTGCACTTATGCGCCCAAAAACTTGATGTCGAGGAACAAAGCTTTATCTGCTCTGCTGTATCCGATATACTCGGACGATGAAGCAAGACACGACACCACATAAACAATTTCAATACAAAGACTTGTATGGTGTCGATCACTTTTCCACTGTTTAAATTCACCAAAGATCCGGCAAGATAGCCAGATTCTTATTCCCAAATCGTGTAGCCTTATATATCGGATGAATATTCGGTCATCGGTTATTCTTCCTAACCGGATGACAAACCATTTGGCTAAATTTTCCGACTCGTACAGCTTTCCGAACTTACACCACAACTTCTTCTGAGAGAGCGTGCATTACAGCAGGCCAAGGGACATCTTTCATCGAAAATGGCTTTTTTTCGGCAGCTGAGCGGCCATTTCTTCTAGTCGGTCCCGGCAAGAAGACGTGACCATACTTCGCCACATCGCCAATTTAGATTGAATGGATCTGCCTAGTGTTTCAAATTCTGTATACAGCATAGCTAAGATGTTATACAGTAGCTCATTGCCCGCAATACCACACTCCAAACCAGGTCAAGAAATTACCTTCTCGGAAAAGACGCCGATGCCTACATCCTTAGCCGACGGTAGCCATCCATATGGCGGCAGCGGCGGCAGCCAAGCTGAATTGCGTGGCTTTGAGGCGCTTGTTGAGGCTGCCTGTAGGATCAACGCAGACAAGCCGTTCAAAACACGATTTTGCTCGTCGAAAATAGCATGTAACTCTTCCTTGTTGTCAAGTCAGCCCTCGGCCGGTGGCACCGTCGGGACGTCGCCCTCTTTGGCGTGGGTGCCGCAGGTATCTCCCGAGAACTACCGATCCACGACGAATCAAATGGACATGGCTAGCACCTGCAGAGATCAGGCCATACAATCCCCGTCTAGAGATACAGCAGTAGGAGTCTCATTTTTCTATTTTCCACACAATGGCACGACACACCACAAGATTGCCGTGCCTGTTGAGACACAACACCTTTTCTCTGGACACACCAAGAGATTCAGGCAGACAAACTCGATGGGAATGCATGGAGGTGAGGACGTTTCTTCACCGTCATTGCCTTCCTCTCCTCTGTCTGTGGTCACCGCAGCATTCCATGCCAATGCTTGCGGATCTATGCCGAGAGCGATTTGCTCTAACGCCTACGGGCCATGCTACGAGTCAGTCTCTTGCAGAGATGTTGGTCCTCTGAATGGACGACTTCCTTCTCACATGAAAGAGTATCATAGCACCATGATCATGCCTAGTAAGTTGGATCTTCTCCACACCACGCAATGCAGCGTGGTGCCGCGAGGGGCAACGTCACTATCAATGGCCTTGACAGGGGATCTTCCTGTCGGCAACCAAGTAGCAAGGCAGGGCGATGCAATGACTGATAGAAATAAGAAGGGGAAGAAAAAAAAGAAACTTACGAACAAAGATGATGACGGCTCAGGGCATACTGATACATCACGGAAGAGAAATCGGACCCCGAACGTCAACTATTCTGAGATGTCGCCTGCAGAGCAGCTCGCATTCCAAAGAAGCCGGGCACGGAGGTACGGCGCCTTGGCTCGCGAGCGGCAGTATGCGAAGGAGCAAAAGAAGCAGGAGGAGCTCGACAGACTGAAAGGATTGGAAATCTTGGTGGAGGCGGCACCAAATGCCATGCTGCTGCTATCCGATGATGCAAGAGGTTGTATCCTGTTTGCCAATAGGCAATGTAGGGCGATGTTGCAATTTATCACAACGGCAGCGGTTCCCAAGCCGTTGACTGGACGATGTCTGTGGGAGTGGTTGGACGTGCCGGACAGGAGTTTGTTCCATGCGGCGATTGTAAAGTGCGTTGTCTCTAGGGAAGTAATCCATACGGTGCGTTGCACGCTTCGGAGACCCTCTGCACTTATAGATATCCCCGTGTCAGGGCCATCGCAGCAGCAGCAGGAGGAGGAGGGAAAAAAGTCATTAAAGGTTGAGGTCAGAATGCGTGCATGCGCCGATGGCATCGTGACTTTGCTTTGGCCGCAAAATGACGAGAAGTAAGTTTACGTGCCGCGATAGCGACATCCAATTTAGCCATTTGGAGATACACATGAACATGGGATGACATACGATGTGACGTGTCTTGTTAAAGACGTTAGGGACAATAGCACGTACAGTATGAATGGATATCTTTGCAACCGATGATGAAGACGCGGAGGAAGGGCGTTGGAATTTTATGCCGGTAAAATAAGAGTTTTGTGTACATGGGTAGCTCAGAATAAAGATTGGCAAACGTGTGACGAGCTCAAGGGGGTAACTATTTGAAGCGTAGTAGGTAGAGTTGCTACTATATAGACTGTATTTGTAGATTAACACTGTGAAAGATAAAGCAACGTGCGACAAGCCATATCCAGAGATGTATTTTCGAACATACAAGTCCTAAAGCATCAGGGCAAGTGCGTTTATATGACCGAGAAATCGAAGTATACTTGTCTTCTGACTATTGAATTATTGTCATTACTAGAGCACAGGTACATGAAGCTTTCGCAACGTTTTCTTCTTTGAGACTAAACATATTCATCCCTAATTATGTACCAAATCCCCAAGCCTAATTTTCATCTGTATCCTGATTTCACTTCGTATACAAGATGCGTGATTCGAAATATTTTTAAAGATCCTATAATCTTCATTCTCTTTTGTATTCTAGCATCTTCGGCGAAGTTTTCTGTAACATTCTAGTGATGCTCTCTGCTATATATATTATATCTTTCGCCAAAGACGTATCTGTGTCATAGTTAGAAAGCATCTAGACTTACGCAATTCACGTCATAAACATTCATATTATACACATAATAGGTTACTTGCTCCTCATACCTTGCCTTCCACAATGTCGTAAATCAGTCGACGCGTCCCATGTCTCTCGCGAGCACTACATTCGAGTTGAAATTGCTCTGCGCGGCTGCCATGCTAAGTAAGAAGAGTCCAGTCCCTATTTTTAATCTAGAGTCTGGGATCGAAGCAGGCGAGTTCATGCGCTCTTTTTGCTGGATTAATCGAGATTGGACTCTCTGCGAAAGCATCGAGGGCGGCCAACAAGACATGGCCCAGCCTTGCTCTTGCTTTTGTTGTTGAAGTTGCCTCTGCAAGTTTGTTTGCTGGTAGCCTTCATTGATTCTTATACTCCGATGTCCAAATACCGGCAAGCTTCCCTTATGTACTCATTCGTGTCCGCATTATGTCGTTGCTTCCGCTCATCTCATGGCTTCAAATCACCCCTTGCCCGTGTACGTGTGGTCCCACTCCTACATATAACCCACTGCTCCATGCATGAAGTCGTATAAAAAGATCGATTTTTTGCTCTGACACACCTTTCTATCCTTCCTGCGAAACGGTGAAGAACTAATGAGTGGCATGACTGTCAAGACTTCACCTTCGAAGGAGATTTTCGAGCCATCTGCTGCGCGTGCACACACAGCAATGCTTTAAAAGTTTTGAAACGCATTGTCTGCTGTCATTTGGCTTGCGATGTCCTTCCAGAGAAGAGCGTGTATTGCTATTAAGATGATATTGAGAGCTCTGGTCCCAAAGGCTTCACCCAAAGGAATAGCTGAGAGTTCCAGATAAGTAACAGATAGAGAAATATTACAGCTGTCTTTTTGTGATAACAACATTTCATGGAGTCATCTTCCTAATCATTGTTATATTGCTGTTGGCAATATTTGGGCTCCTTCCGCCTCATTTCAGCAGTGCCTATCGAGAGAGTAAACTCGAGGTTTGACAGTGTCATGACTACGTATGGCGTACTGTGTTGGAAATATTGTTGCCGGAAGGTATTAGCAAGTAAACGTACAGCAGCTCTAACAAGGGCATTTCAAAAGCTTCACAGCTCATCTACCTTCACACTCCAAATCTACTTTCTCTACTTCTTTTTCAAGGAAGCGCCGAGGTGTGATGTGGGAATACTCATAGCATTTCCTCTCCTACGACTGAATAGACTCGCACCAGCCACTGCATCACTCTTCTCTTTACGTACAACACTCCTTCACTCACCCTCGCTTTCTATCCCTTCGTCCTCTACTTCGGCATCCATCCCTCTCCTTCGTCCCTTGACGCCATCCTGGCACCCTTTAAGGTAATCACGAGAGTCCTAAATAGCAGCACCTTCAAGCGCAATCCAAGCAATTGCGATTCATTTTTCATACATAAGCTTGCTACACGGCGTCTCCATTTGATGACTTTCCTAACTTTTGTCCTGGTCTGAGAGGCGGGCTAGAAAACCCATTGTCGTATCAAATACAAGAGTGGGAGGAAGGAAACGAAGAAGACCATGTCCACTATTTCTTGCACCACACCCACGGTGACCTAGGAAGGAAGAAAGGAAGAAACGAAACAGGGAGTGAGGGTGGTGCTCGATTGCGCAGGCCTAAATTCCTCCGTCCTCCCCTTCCCTCTCCCTCCCTCCGTTCCTACCTCCTTGCCGGTCAAACTACCCGGACCTTCCGCTCTCTTTTCCTTCCCGCCGTTTAAAGCCTCCTCCTCCTCCTCTCCCTCCTCCTCTATCTCTTCTTCCTCCCTCTCTCCCTTCGACTTTCTCCGCCGCTCTCCTCGCCCTCCGTTGTGCTTTTTCCCATTCCTCCCCCCCGACCCCAGCAGGCGGCGGCCGAGGTCCTGCTCTTTGACCAAGGTCAAGGACAGGAGCATCCAGAGGCCAAGTAGAAGTAGGGTGGCCAGCCAAGGATAGCCTGAGGAAGGGAGGGAAGGGGACGGGTGGGGGTGAAATGAGTCGAGGAAGAAGACTCGGGAGTGTCTCGGGGTCGTTGTCAGGGAAAAAGAGGAGGAGGCGCGGAGGCAGGAGGGAAAGAAGATTAATGGCGAGTGAAATGGAATGTAGGGAAGGAAAGAGGGAAGATAAGGAGTGTACCGATCTCAGGCGGCGGGGTTCTGATGAGGAAGGTGGAGGGCCAGAACTTTAGCCAAACCACCACCTCGAGCTGCATGACCGCCATCATGCACCAGACTGCAGGGAGGATGCGAAGAAGGGAGGAAAGGAGGAAGGGAAAGCAAGGGGGAAGGAAAAGCGCGATCACGGACTGTGGACTGATGGATCCCCTCCTCCCTCGTTCCCTTCCTTCTACCCTCCCTTCTCACCGTTTGGCCCCAATCTTGACTGATATGGATTTGAGATGAAATCGTAGTACTCGGCAGCTGCAGGGAAGGCAAGGAGGGCGACTGGGAGGGAGGGAGTGAAGGAGGGAGGGAAGGAGGGAGGGAAGGAGGGACCAGGTGATGTGGAGGAATGAGTCAGAACAGAGGAAGAGAGGGGATGT